TCTCCTGATGTTTGGCCCAAAGTTACTCGGCTTTCATGGCTAAGGTGACACTGGAACTCACCAGCTTCTGGTGATTGGCCCCAAATCACTCAGCTGGCTTTCAGGCCTAAGTAATCTTTATTGGAACCAAGTGTCCCAGCCCCCGGTTCGATGATTACAGCAGAGGTCCCCAACCTTTTGGGCACCAGGGACCAGTTCCATGGAGAGAAGCTTTTCCGCGGACCGGAGGGTACATGGTTTTGTGTGCTGCCTGCATCCTTTGCTTGTTTGTGTGGACCGGTTGCTGGCATGCCATGGCCCGGTACTGGTCCACGGACCGTGAGTTGGGGACCCCTGGACTACAGGATTTGAGACCAGGGTACATTCATTTGGATCCATGATGTTTTTTCCTGTGTTATTCTCAAAGGCCTCCTTGCGAGCAGAGAAGCAAGGAAGGGGGCTCTTGTAGGGTGTGACTAGACAAACTGGAAGCTGGGCTGCTCCAACTCAAAAAAATAATAATAATACAAAAAACCAAACAACCCTTTCTACAAGTGATGAGTGGCAGGATAAGCAGTTGGGGAAAAAACGGCTTCAACCAGTTTGACAGGCCAAAACCTGAACAGCAAAACCTGCTTGGGAGATTCACCGAAGGTTGGGCTTCAGAGTGTGGCTGGTGGGGACAAGCAGTTGTCAGTTTGACTCATTTGTGGTCCCTGATGTTGGCAGACAAGCCAACCGTGCCCTGGATTTAAACCTTGCCCTGACTTGGCAGCCCTTGACTTCCAAACCACAGCTGGGGACCAGGATTCCCCAGTTGTTAAGCAAGATGGCGGTTGTTGCGAGTCAGGCCTGATTTTACGACTTTTTTTTTGGCTATGATTGTTAAATGAATTACCTCAGTCATTAAGCGGATCCGGCTTCCCCACGATTGAATTTGTCGGAAACCGGTTGAGAAGGTCACAAATGGTGATCATATCTCACACACACACAGAGAGAGAGAGAGAGAGAGAGACAGACAGACAGACAGACAGACAGACAGACAGACAGACAGACAGACGGACGAGATGTTGCAACCATTGCAAATACACGCCGGTTGCCAAGTTGTCTGAATTTTTGTCACGTGACCGTAGGGATGCTGCGACGGTCATAAGGGTGAGGACCGGTTGTAAAGTCACTTTTTTTAGTGCCTTTGTAACCTGGAACGGTCGCTACGGAATGAACAGCTGTAAGTCGAGGACTACTTGTATGGAGAAGGGCGTGTCAAGCCATTGGGGAGATTAGTCTGGGTCACCGGAAGTTTTACCAGCAAGTCCGCTGATTAGAAACACTCAGACTTTGTTCTGTGCTATTTACACTGTGAATTCACATGTGTGTGTGTTTACATTAGAGTGTCAGGGGCTAAGTCCAGGAGCAAAACAGCGTCAAAAAAAGGAGCACGTACCTTGGGCACAAAAGTCAGCTGGGGGACTTTGGGCCAATCAGCAGGAGATGGTGAGTTCTAGTCACCCCCCCTTTAGGCATGAAAGCTGGCTGGGGGACTTTGGGCCATCTCCTCTCTCTCAGCCCAACCCACCTGACAGGAATTTTGTTGTGGGGAAAATAGGAGGAAGGAGTAAATTTAGGGTAAGTTTGCTGCCTTGAGTTATTTTATTATTATTATTATTATTATTATTATTATTATTATTATTATTATTATTATTATTATTATTATTATTATTATTATTATTATTAATAATAATAATAGGAAGATCTGCAAGAAATATCATTTGCCTGTAAGCAAGAACTGGGTGGGATCATAAAATAGAGAAAGTCATAGAAAATGATAAAATTAAACTGCTCTGGGACTTCAGAATTCAACCAGACAAGCACCTGCAACATAACACCCCGGACTTAACAATTGTCGATAAGAAAGACAAAAAAGTCTGGATAGTGGATGTGGCAGTGCCTGGAGACAGCAGAATAGACGAGAAAGAACTGGAGAAGATAACAAAATACAAAGACCTACAAATAGAAATAGAAAGACTGTGGCAAAAGCAAGCAAGGGTAGTACCAATAGTCATAGGCGCCTTGGGTGCAATCCCAAAACAACTGGAGCGCCACTTGAACACCATTGGCATTGACAAATTCGCTATTAGTCAATTACAAAAGGCGGCCTTACTAGGAACTGCTTCCATCCTGCAACGATATCTGTAATACCATCAAACATCCACATCTGCCTATCCCAGGTCCTTGGGAAGGACTCGATAGTAAGACAAAATGCCAAATCCAGTCTGAACATCTGGCTGACTGTGCGATGAGCAACAACAACAATAATAATAATAGTAATAGTAATAAAAAATTTTCTATATAGCATTGTGAAATATTTGTGATGTCTTTTTTTTATATGATGAAAATAATAAAATCTTATATTGAAAAAAAAAAAGTAATAGTAATAAAAATGTATATAAAAATAACAAAGAGTTGAAATGACTGGCTTTCGTGCCTTGTTGCTGAGCAAGGACAAGACTGGACCTTGTGACCACAAGTTCAGCAACACTTAGCGATTGCAGTCAAAAACAAAGAATTCACTTCTGCTTTATTTAGTGTGCCTCATCATAACCTTTTTTTCCCAGGAAACTCTCTTGTGTGTCATCCTCAGCTAGCATGGTGTAAGATGCTGAGTTTGACAATTGTTCAGTGTTGCAGGCAGCTGTGTCCTTCCTCTGGTTTTTAATCGTCTCCCAAACACCCGGCGAGGTAGGCAAAGCGGAGATCAAGACGGCTGGCTGGACGGATTTTGTCCCCGCATTCCTAGCCATCCCTCTGCCCTTCCTAGCCAACTTCTGGGGCATCTGCATTGATTCTTTTCCGAGCTTGATTCTCTCAGGGTTGTCTTTCAAGGAGAATATTTGTAGCTCAGATTTGAACCGTGGGGTCCTTGGCGCTCTCTGAGCTTGGTTGTTTTCTTACAGACGTTTCATTACCCAACTATCTAACATTCTCAGTGCTAGTAGGGAATGGGGGTTTGCTCTCAATTTATATTCTAGCGCGGTGTTTCTCAACCTGGGCAGTTTGAAGATGTGTGGACTGCAACTCCCAGAATTCCCCAACCAGTTAGAATTCTGGGAATTGGAGTCCACACATCTTCCAACTGCCCAGGTTGAGAAAAGCTGTTCTAGGGACTTGCCCTGTCGTTGTTGATGGGAGCGGTCTTGGTGATTCTTTGGTTGGGCTGTTTACTATTAGTTTGTCAGGCAGTTCCTGGATTGGGGTGTGGTTTATTCTTGATGGCTGGTCTGATATTAAGGCCAAAACACCTTCCCTCCAGCAATCAACACCCATTTCAGCATAGATTAACACCAAGGTTGACATCGGGCCATCCATCAAGAAGTAAACAATACCCCAATCAAGGAACTGCCGAGCAAGCTAGCCGTACTACCAAAGAACCACCAAGATCACTCTCACAAACAAGGACAGGACAAACCACTAGAACAGACATGTCAAACACAAGGCCCGGGGGCCCGCAAAGTGGTTTCATGTGGCCCGCGAAGCCATCCTGGAAACAGTGAGAGAACGGCCCCCGTTGCCTTGGCCCTGGCCCATGCTGGCCTGGAGCCAATGTACAATTTTGTGGTGGCCATCTATGCTGAAATGCATTCAGTCTTAGCTCCACAAGGCCGTCCGGAAACAGCGAGGAACCAGCCCCTGCCGCGTCGGCCCCACCTCCTGGGTGCATGCTGGGGAGGGGTCACCCTTTGTGAGGAATGAAGAAATGGACCATGCCTTGGCGCTTGCCCCGGTCCCACCCCCTTCTGCCAGAGACCCTCTGATCTGTCCCACTCCTGCCCAGGCCCCCACAGGCACCCTTGACGTGAACGATGTAGAGCTGGCCACGCCCACCCAGTAGGCCACACCCACTCCATCCACACCCACCCAGTAGGCCGCACCCACCCTGGCCACACACACACACCCCCGAGGGCAACAACAATGCTGATGCGGCCCTCAATGAAATTGAGTTTGACCACCCCTGCACTAGAATATAAATAGAGAGCAAACCCCACTCCCTGCTAGCCCTGATGATGTTACCTAGTTGGGTGATGAAACGTCTGCAAGAAAACGACCAAGCGCAGAGAAAGCAAAGGAGCCCTCAGAGTCGTCTTTAGCAAGATGTATTGAAGGAAGAGGGAAGCCATTGCAGAAATTGTTGTTAGGATGCCTGGTGTTGCTACTCAGTCCCTCTCTCTCCCTTCTTTCTCCGTAGGCCCGGCTCAGATTTCCCATTGATTACCCTTATTCGCCGCCTGCCTTCCGGTTCCTGACCAAAATGTGGCATCCCAACATATATGAGGTACGTGCTTGGGCCAGGGCTGGACGTGAGCCTGATGTGGGTAATGAAACATCTGCAAGAAATGGA